ACACACACACACATATATGATTCCACCCAATCAGCTTATCTTTGTAAAATGGAACAGCTTCTTAAATAACTGAATGTGCACTCTTAACTTCAGCCAATCAAGCATTATATTATGATATTATGATAATTAAGCACTATTTAATGATAGAACTAGTGATTAGAACTAAAACTTGGTAACCGTGAATGAATGCATATGTCATTTTAAGTGAACTGGTGGTGGTGTTTAAGATATTGTTGGTCATAGGTAATAGTAATTATTATTAAAAGATACTACTACTACTACTATTATTATTATCTGCTGGGTTCATGAATATTAATCACGTTGTCAGCGTTTGCTCGAACTGATTTGCTGAAATCAAAACAGGGACGGTAATAGATGAGCGCCAGCCAATGAGAGCTGTTCGCGTATTAGCTCCGCCCACTGCCGAGAAACCGGCATATCTTTTGCTTGTTCTTAAAAGCTGAATAATTCTAAATGAACTCTGTTATTTTGACAGGAAAATACAACAAATAATATGGTTTACATGTAGCGCGTCGATTTAGCGTGGTATGCAAGACTCTCGCTCTCTCTCTTTTGCATGTGTGAGAAACACAGCGCTATCAGTAAAGCGACGGCGAGTTGTGCGCCTTCACACTAGTTTACGGTACGTCAAATACAGGTGCGCTGCGTGCTACATACTGCGCATCCATTGAGTACATGACATGATCCATTGAGCGCATCCAAATAGTACAGATCGCTTGACGGAGAGCGAAACTCTCAAGCGCTCAGTCAGCGTGTTTATCGAGTGAAAATCTGTGTTGAACGCCTCTCACACACATACTGGCGTGTAAAATCTAAGAATTTATTAGCCAATGGCTAATGTTAGACATTATTTAGTCGCCCAGAGTAAGATTTAGTCGCATATGCGAGTGATTTACTCGCAGTGTAGAGGGTTGAGGGTGGCTGAGGCAGACCTACTGCCTGAATTCTTGGTTTAAGTTTCACAGCTCACCATGTAGCTCTTTGTTACAGGGAATTATTGATGTTTTTCCCCTGTCGTGCTCATTGTTTACTTGGGTTTGTAAGGCCGGGTTGCCACTAAAGAACCTCCTGTACGTTGTGTTCTTATGTGTTCGTGTTGTCTCGCAAGTGACCTTGGACGGTATTATCATTGTCAATTAACTGAAGCGGCTTTTAATAAAATAACGGAGAATAATTAGGTCCCAGTCTTTAGCATTTCAAAAGGCCTCTTTGGAAGTAATTGCATCTTCAGATGTTGAATTATCTGTTATGTCAACTTCCACATTGGGAAATGATCATTTCATTGACCTTGCTACTCTTGCATCATAAAGGCTATGAAAGGACAAATTAAAACTATTAATGAGACTATGTATGAATTTTTTTTTGTAGGAGAATCCATGAAGTTGGCCTCAGGAGAGTTTGCAGAGGATCCCTGTTCTTCAATGAAGAGAGGCAACATGGTCCGTGCTGCACGTGCCCTTCTTTCTGCTGTCACTCATCTGCTTGTACTGGCGGACATGGCTGATGTTTACCAGCTTCTGCTTCAGCTCAAACTGGTGAGACACACGCACACACACATTTTTACTCTTTGAAAGTTTGGTTCACAAAAAAGTGACAATTATTGTTTACTCAACCTCTCATACACTACAGTTCAAAAGTTTCGTCAGTAAGAATAGTATTTATTATTTTTTTTTTAGCCAAGGATGTGTCAGATGGATCAAAAATGACAGTAAACACATTTGATGCTACAATAGATTGGCGTTTCAAATAAATGCTGTCCTTTTTAATAGGGCTGCACGATATATCGTTTCAGCATCGATATCGCGATGTGCGCATCCGCGATAGTCACATCGCAGGATGTGCGATGTTTAGTATACTGATCGTTATATTTATTCTGATCGTTTTCTTTGCTCACACACTGATACGGTGTCTACACCGGACGTGACAGCTGTACAGAGATACCTATTTTAAATAAATTTAGTAGCAGACCTACTGCAAGCGATTTTCAGTGCTGGAAATCCATTTATCCTTTGTTGAAACTTCCGCGTCGTCGTGGAGAGCGCAGGTCACGGTCTCTTAGCAACGGCAGACGCCATGAAAGCGCAAGCTCCCGAACGCTTTGGAAAGAAGGAGAAAGCGGCGCGGTTGGTGTTTTCCACGCGTTTTTAGGCGCGACATGTGAACGAACGGCCCCAAAGTCTGTCTACACAGGATGTGACAAAAGGGCCTTTCGCACCGCTTTAGTTCCAGAACTAAATGTACAGTACTAAAGTACTGGGACGATTTTGCGCGAACTATTTCCCAGTACCATTTAAAGGGTTGCATTCGCACCGACAGTGTGTACTAAGAAGTGACGTAAGCCGGTCGACAGCGACGTCATTTGTGCGCGGCGTTCAACAACAGAAACAAAGAAAAACAACATTAACAACAGGAGGATGGAAGACGCTGTGATCGGAGCTGTGTTTTTGTTGTGTCTCACGGGTTTCACAATAATGGACATGGAAAGTCGACGTATACGTAAAGCGATTGAAAGAACGGAAAGGAGGACTAAGAATCTCCAACGACAACTGACAGTGCTACAAGTGCCTGCACTTCAGCGTCCGTCCATCTATCGCTGTTCTCCATACTTGCGAAATAAGTTGACACAAAGTTTACAGTGTTTACACGGCGTTTTAAATAATGGCGGGTGAGGGCGTTTTCATACGCGTTTGGCCAATCAATGTCTACTTACGTCACGATTAGTACCAGTTGTGCTGGTTAGACCCTGCTCCGGAGTAGGAGCTAATTTGGTTCTCGAAAAAGGCAGTCCGGTACTAAAACCGCAAAAACCGCACGCGTTGCGAAAACGCCAAAAAGTGGGTAGTTCCACAATTAGTTCTGGTACTATGAAAAGGATGAAAAGGTGCAAAAGGCCCTTATAATCAGCAAGGAACTACAATTTGGAAGTAATCTACCCAGCTCTGTAGACACTACTATTCAAACATTTGGTGTTGGTAAGATTTTTTGATTTATAATTTATAATCCAGTCCTCACATACTTTTTCCAAACAAAGATATTTACTCTTGGATTAGTTTGGTCAGTAACTAAGGAAAACGTTGCAGCACTACTGTATGTTTCCACAGTACATAAAGCTCTTTGGTTACACTATTTTTTTCCCTCGATAGTCCACTTTACACATTCAACTAACTATAAGTAACTTTGCAACTACACATGTCAAGTCGTAAGTTGAAAAAGTTACTTATATTCAGTAGACTGTTGGGGGAGTATCAAAATAAAGTAGATATTAAGCAGACAGTCTACTAATACTCTAATGACTGCTAGTTGACATGTATTTGCAAAGTTACTTATAGTCAGCACAATGTCTAAAGTGGACTATTGAAAAAACAAAATGTTACCAGATCTTTTATCTCAATAGAGAGATTTGAAGTGACATGTGGCCAAGTATGGTGACCCATACTCGGAATTAGTGCTCTGCATTTATCCCATCCAAAGTGCACACACACAGCAGTGAACACACACCTGGAGCAGTGGGCAGCCATTTTTTGCTGCGGCGCCCAGGGAGCAGTTGGGGGTTCGGTGCCTTGCTCAAGGGCACCTCAGTCGTGGTACTGAAGGTGGGAGAGAGCGCTGTACATTCACTCCCCCC